CTGAGTCTTTATTAAAGTGATAACCAACGCAGTCACGTAGATGCAAACTACTGGAGTTTAATCTGAGGCTAGAAAATGCATGTAGTGTTATAATAATAGCGCAATAATAGCTGCATTTAGCACAATCTGGATTTACCTGCTGAAAGCCTAAAGAAAAGTGGAAGCCAATAAAAGTGAAAACAGCGTAAGTGCACCTCGAGAAGCCGAAGGGAGGAGGAGGAGGCTGCTGGAAACTCACTTAAGGGAAGCAGGATTGAGTTATGGGCACATAAATCCAGAGAGATGGTCGCCGTGAGCTCTATTTCGCCCTCTCTCCCATCCCCACCCACCCCCCACCCCGGGTGCTTGCAGCAATTATTGTGACTGATGGGATCTACTAGGCGTTAAAGGTTGAGAAACCACGTCAGGCGCAGGCTCCGGTCCGCGGCCCACTTCCAAGAAGCAGCTCTTTTTTAGCTGGTCCGCCGGAGGGGATGGGTGCGAGAGGAAAGGCCATTGGATCGGATCCCCCCCCCCCGGCCCAATGTGAGGCCCACGCTTCACCCAGACTGGTCGGGAAAAGATTCCCAGCGAATAGGCAAGATTTAAGGCACTTATCTCCAGATACCGAGGTCCATCCCCACGTTCAATCACGTTCCACAGCGAGAAAACCCGATCCTCAAAAGAGGCGGCAGCCGACTGCTCTTTAGAAGGCCAGATCCTGAAGTTGAAACTCAAGTACTTTGGCCACCTAATGAGAAGGAAGGACTCACTGGAGAAGGGCCTAATGCTGGGAAAGATTGAGGGCAATAGAAGAAGGGGACAACAGAGAATGAGATGGCTGGATGGAGTCACTGGAGCAGTAGGTGTGAACTTAAATGGACTCCAGAAGATGGTAGAGGACAGGAAGACCTGGAGGAACGTTGTCCATGGGGTCGCGATGGGTCCGACACCACTTCGCAATTAACAACAACAAAGGGAAGACGGGCAGGTGGAGGGCAGGTGGAGGACTAAGAAAGAAGCATCCCGCTTGCCGCCCGATTCATTAGAAACTTTAGAAAAAGGCCCTGGAGTTAGAAGGGGGGGGGGAGAGAACTATAATCCCTTTATTCATATTAACCAATTAACGTCCTAAATAGTCGGAATGCAAATAAGATAAACGGCTTTTTTTTTTTTTTTTTTGCTCCATCATTCCCGCCTGGAATAAATAATAAGTATCTTCTTGCATAAGAAAAATTCCGGGTTGGGAAGCCGACTCCTCGCAAAGTGGCGACTTGGATCGCAAGAAACCAAACCAGGCCTATAGGTCCAAAACCTTTTCAGCAGCGGCCTCGCAGTTCAGGAGGGCCTGCGCGACTCCCTCAGAGAAGTCTACTTTTTCCTCACAGCGAACCCAGGCGCCCGCCACGATTCTGAAGGGCTTCACTGGCAAGAAAGTGGGCCTGCCCCCCCCTTTATTTCTTTGGTTTTTGCGATAAAATAAAGAAAACGCCACGCCCGGAGTCAGGGGTGAGGTAGGACAGGGGTAGGCAACCTTGGCTCTTTTATGACTCGGGTGGACTTCAACTCCCAGAATTCCCGAGCCAGAAGTCCACCCGAGTCATAAAAGAGCCAAGGTTGCCTATCCCTGAGCTAAGATCAAAGATTAAAACAAAAACAAAAACAAAAAACGAGCGGGGAATGCATCTTTGGAGGCGAGAGAGGAGAAAAAGACACCCGCCGAACCGAACAGACAAGAGTGGCGCGTCCCTTCCCTTCCCCCTCCTTGGAAAAAAAAAAGAGAAGGGAGAGGTGCCGAGGCTCGAGCTACGGCCGGCGAAGCGACGGCGTGTGTGGCATTGGGGGGGGGGCGGGAGGGGGGAAAGAAACCCGGCCGCGTCCATCAGGGCTTCATTACGTTTCCAATAGATAACATTTGCTTAACTCGGTCCCTAGATTACAGCGCGGCGTAATAGCCCGTCAGCGAAGAGGGGGCTTTTTGTGTGGTCCTTCTGCGGGCCACGAACTGAAACATTAGCTCTGCCTTCGCCCAGCCGCCGCCCCCCTCCTCCTTCTCTGAAGCCTACGGGGGAGGAGGGGGGGAGCGTGTTAATAAACCCCCACTTTGTAGTTTTGGGAGATAAAGATTGGGGGGGGAGGAGGAGGAGGAGGAGGAAGGGTGAGAGAGTCTGCCCCCCCTCCCCACCTTTGTTTCTCATCCCAGGGTTTTCGGCTTGATCTCCCGCAACGCAGCGCCCCTGAGCTGGCTGCGCGTTCAGAGCCGAAGGGGACCTGGAGCTCCGTCTGGCCGGGAGCAGCTTCCGAGTCCCACCAAAGACAGTCCGCGTTGGCCATTCTCAGCGTCTGCTTCGGTATCGGCTCTTTGGGCGGGGGTCCCTTTCTTCCCAGGGCCGCGGCCTCGAGCAGGCCAGCAGGGGCAGAGGCTCGGAGGGAAGGGCGGGGGGGCGCCGCCTCCAAGCGGAGGATCCCCCAGAGAAGTCCGGCTATAACAGACACGGAGGTGCTGGACCGGCCCACCTTGCGACTGAACCTCAGCCGCGGACTGCGCCACTCACCGCCGGGGGAAGAAGGGAGAGAACGCGGCGGACTCCTTAACTGTCCGGGAAGAACCAGGCGAGAAAGACCTCTAAATGCAGCAGCACTTGCTTGGCCTTCAGCCTCGGCCTCCCACCTCTCAAAACACACGCTGGGTCGTTTTGGGGAGAACTTTGAACAAATGGCAGTTTGGAGATTAGTTACTAGATGAAAGAGCAGAATAGTTTCCTGAGTTTTTAGGAAATTGGGGGAATCATTTAGAAATCATTTTTTTTATAACTTTGAGAGGAGAGTCTGAGTTTATACATACATACATACATACATACATACATACATACATACATACATATATCCAAATTTCTTTTTTGGGATTCGAACCTAGGCAGTGATTTAACCACCAAGTCACAGGCTTTCCTCCCCTCTTTGCCAGCCGAATCAAGGGAGTATATACAGGAAGTTTTTCAGACAGACCGGTCTGATTGATTACACCCTGACATTTTTAACTTTTTGGATTTGTAAATGTTTCGCAGTTGCGACTTGAGCCTGCTTAACGCCCCTAGTTGGGGGGCTGCAGGGCAAAAGAGATTGTAAAAAGTATAACTGCAGTATAGCAGTTAAAAATGTCAAGGTGTAATCAATCAGACTGGTCTGTCTGAAAAACTTCCTACACACACACACACACACACACACACACACACACAGGTTGTGTGTGTTTGTGTATATATATGTGTGTGTGTGTGTATACACACACACACACATACACACACACATTGGTTATTTGCTGCCAAGATAAGAAGTCAGGTTGCCGCATTCTGAATCCTTACGAAAACCAAACAATATTAATGCAGAGTTGCCAGGACTTTAAAAAGTATCCACCATAACTTTTTGACAAATAAATTGCATTGCCTTCAAATTGAAACATTAAGCTAGAGCAACAAGTGAACACATAACAAAAAAATCTAGGTAAGAGTTTTAGGGACTGAGAAAAAGATTGGTTGTAACAGTTTAGGAAAGGTAGATCCAAGTTAGGCAGCCAGATGCAAGGATCTACCTGCAAGTCTTGTCAGAGGTATTGTCCTATTTTTCTGCTAACCACCTGCTTTCTATAGCGCAATCAAGTTTTAGTGAAATAATACAAAATGTTTCAGCAGAATTCCTACATACCTGGCTATTAAAACTCTGAACAGTCATTGCAATTCTGTATATTTTTTTTCTAGAAAATAATACATGAAGCATGTATTTATATAAGGTTTTTTTCAAGGGAATATGCTGCTCCTTTACAGTATATTATGGAATGGAACAGTATTCAAATATGCCTTAGAAATTAATAATGATTACTCTTCCTTAAGGTGGACATAATTAACAGTATGGTTTTAGCATTCCTTAAAATTTATATTTAATGTTTTTCTGAAATAATCAAAATATCCTAGAGGTTGCCTGTGTCTAGGTATATGCAAACACTTTAGGGAAAAGTTTCCTTTTGTCTGAACTGAAAATTATTTTAAAATTAATACATCAGACCAGTTACTAATTTAGCCTATAATTAGCAACACTAAGTTTTTTAAAAAAAAAACTTTTAAGTGTTCATCAGCTTTCAAAATGCCAGATCAGCTCAAAGTATTTTCTATACTTCCTTATATTTAAAAGCAATATAGTAAGTATTGAATATTTGTCTGCACATTAAAGCAATTCTGTTCAACTGGATTTTGTTTTTCTTATTTGGTTATGCATGCATGCTTTGATTCAAATATGAATTCTGAGAAGTAGGCAGCTATCTGCATTATTTATGTTTTTTAAAATACTAAACCCATAAGTGGGTGCCCCTGATCTATAATCTATCACATAGATTGGTGGGGGACACAGGCAAATGTGATCAGCTTGCCAAGTTCATTATATTCTGAAATCCTTGAAAGAATTTACATTCATTTGCTTCAAATACACAACATTGTCCTTAGAGAAGATTATAGCTTACAGCTACCAGACTTTATCCATCACTAAAAGAGCTCCTTGTTTTCTTTGGTTATTCCTTACCTTATTTCTTTAGGAAAAACTCAAAAATATTATTCTATGTCTGCTGTGCTAAAATGGTTCCTACCAGAGTAGATCAAGGAATGAGGTAGTTAAATTTAGTCTTCAACATAAGCCTACTGGTTTTTCAGTTAGGTACAAAGGAAGTCCCACTGATTTCAACTATGACCCTGTGAGATTACTGAAGACCAACTTCAAGAAAGTGGAAGATACAACTTCATATCAAAGTTGCTAATCTCATGGAAATATTATAAGCTTTCATCTGGATTAGGTTATGGCCTTGAAAACCATACCTCATCTGAGAAAACATTTGGTGCTATTATTATTTTTGTTATTGTTATTTTTATTCATCCGTCTAAATATTGATAAAATTAGAACTACAAATACATGTTCACAGGGCAGAACACTAAAGACCTGAAGCCCTAAAGCCAATAGCGGGATTTATTTTCTTGAAAAATCATTTGTTTTATTTCCAGAAATATGTAAAAAAAGTTTTCTTCTTCTTTTTAAAAAAAATGGAAGGTACAATAAAACTTGTCAGTCCTCTTAACAATAATCCTGATAAAGAATATGCATAAAATACAAATTGAAAAGACAAAAAGCCTTCCATTCATACATACCCCAACGACAATGACAATCGCTTCTATGTAAACATTTTGATCTTTCCGTGCATTAAAAAGTACGGAAAAAAATGAGCTGCAAATGACGATCCCCTCAACATTTTTGCTGGATTCCCATGTTCTCCCACCCACCGTCTCCTCCCTTCCTGGGGGAACCCAGCGAGCTCTGCAACGGAAAGCAAATAAAACTTTTTTCTTCCGAAAAGATATTTTAAAGGGGGGAAAAGGGACGGCGTCTGTTTTCAAAGCAGAAGCCTGAGGACCGTTGCTCTGCCATCTGTCTCTGCAGCACCTAGAAATGGCTTTGCATAAATAGAGGTACGGAGGAAGAAGCAAACCGGAAGGCCAGAGACAAGCGAGGAAAAGGGCACAGAGAAACCAACCAGGGAGTCGATCTGTCCGGAAAGGTCTCTCCGCGTCGCTGCTCTCCAAAGCCGAAGGGAGACGAGGCTGGCGGCCCAGGGAGCTAGCAGTTGGAAATCCGGGCCGCGCAGCTTTCTAGGCTGCCCAAGGCCGCCCCGTGGGGGGGCAGAGTTCCGAGAGAGGCGGCGGCGGCGGCGGGAGAGGCCAGCGAGGGCGACGGCGACGGCGAGGCCATCAGAGTTCGTGCCAGGACCGGCAGCCCTGCGGCCTGAGACCCGCAGCGATTCCCCGCCCCGGCGCTCACACCGCCCCCGATGATACTCTCAATGGAGAACGGGGAGCGCGCCAAGGCCGAGGTGGTCTTGGTGGCGGCCGCGTGCAAAGAGGCGGCCAGCGACGGGCCCAACTGGGCCGCGTAGCCGAAACTGGGAGTCCGGGCCAGCTCCGGTGCCGCCGCCGCTGTCGGGGGCAGGAGGGAAGGCGGGGCGGGCGGCAGGATGGGGCCCGTTGCCGACGGCCGCCTCTCCTGAGGTTGGAAAGCGAAGAGTGTCGAGGGCGCGTGGTAAGGCTGGAGATGGAGGCCGTAGCCGCAGCTATAAGGCCCGTAGGCGTAGGCGGGGGGCTGGCCGGGGTGCCCGGGCGGCGGCGGGGCGGCCGGCGGGTGAAGGAAGGCGGCGGCGGGTTCGAGCCCGCGGAGGAGCAGGTCGGACGCCGGCAGCGGCTGCCGCTTGAAGCGCTTCCTGCGCCGCAGGAAGCTGCCGTTGTCGAACATGTCGGCGGACTCCGGGTCCAGCGTCCAGTAGTTGCCCTTGCCCGGGTTGCCCGGCTCGCGGGGGATCTTGACGAAGCAGTCGTTGAGCGACAGGTTGTGGCGGATGGAGTTTTGCCAGGCCGGGAACTTCTCGCGGTAATAGGGGAAGCGGCCGCTGATGAACTCGCAGATCTCGCTCAGCGTCAGCCGCTTCTTGGGGCTCTGCAGGATGGCCATGGTGATGAGCGCGATGTACGAGTAGGGCGGCTTCACCAGGCTGCTCTTGCCGCCGCCCGCCGCCCTGAAGGGCCCCGGCTGCGAGGGGGAGCCGGAGGACGAGGAGGAGGGAGAGGAGGGCGAGCCGGAGCCCGGGGACCCTGCCGGCGCCCGCCCCCCCGGGGACCTGGGCAGTGAGACGGCTTCGTCCTCCTCCTCGTCGTCGTAGGGCCGCCGGGGAGGGGGCTCCTCCTCGTCGTCCTCGTCCTCGTCGCCGCCCCCCTCGCCCTCCCCGACCACGTCGATGTCTGCCTCTTCGGCCAAGGCGGAGGCGGCGGCGGACATCTCCGCGCTCAGAGTCATCGCTTGGCGCAGCCGGACATGGGCACAGCGGGCGGGAGGCGGCGGGGCAGCTGCCCGCGGGAGGCGTCGGTCCCGCTGAGGGACCCCCCGGACGGCCGCGCGCGGGTTCGGGCCCGGCGCTCCTTCACCAGCCGGAATTGGCTTGCCGGACTGCTGGGCTAGCTTCTCCGGCGGGCGGGCGAGCCGGGAGCTTGCTCCCTTCCGCCGTTCCCCTCAGTCAGGAATGAACCCTGCGGGGGAAGCCGCCGCGACCCTTCTCGGGGAGGCTGGCAAAAGCAGCGGAGCCCGCGGAGGCGCTCGGCCAGGCTGAGGCCGTGCCCAAAGGGGATGGCCTTTTCTCCTCCCGCGGGCGGGCGGGCGGGCGGGGCGGGGAGCGGGGAGTCACATGGCGCCAAACGTCAGCGCCACAACCGGGAAAAGATTCCTGAAAAAAAGCGGCGGGATGGGGGGGCGGGCGGGGAGCGCGATCCGAGCGAGAAAGAAGAGACCCGGGGGCAAAACCGGAGCCTCATTCCGGGCATAAAAAGCCCCGCTGGGCACCTTGGGGTGGGGGGACGGGCGTCCTCGGGAACTCCCCTTCCTCTGCCCGCCCCCCCCGCCAACCGGACTGTGTCCTGGCTGCTTCCCCGCTTCAGACTCTCCTTCGCCTTTCCCCTCCCCCTTGGAGTGGCGGGGAATTGTTATTCCCCCCCTTTCTTAAACCGGGGGGGGGGGGCGCGAGAGAAAGCGCTTCGTGAATAAAAGCAGAGATCCCATTCCGGCATTGCCGCCGGCAGGTCCCCCAAGTTTTGAGAAAACTCTGCGAGCGCTGCGCAGAATCGAGGAATGGGGGGGGGGGGAGAGGACGGGGGACCCAAAGAAATTCTCGCCAATCCTTTATGCGCTGGGAAGCAGAGCCATGAAAACGGCTCGGAGTTTCGCCCGGCAAAGTCTGCAGAAGGCGGGTTGGTTGGGTAAACCCAGCCGAGACTTAGTGAACTGTTAATCCCGAGGTTTGTCAACCGGGAGCTCGTCCCCTTGTGCTCCGCGGGGCCTGCTTCGGCCGAGAAGATAGTAGTAGGGTCTCTTTAAGATTTAGCTCTGTTCTCCAGCCTGGACCTTTTCCCAGGAGTATCTCCGCTCAGACCACCCGAGAACACGATCCCTCGGGGGGACAAGCGGGCTGTCCTTGAAGCCCGGCTCCGTCGTTGGCAGCGTAGTAAATACACCGAGCCTTTCCCGCTCGATCCAGATTAAAACAGGAAACTGTTCACTGAAAGGCGAAGTGATTGAAAAATAGAACATGCCTGAAGCCGGTGGAGGTTTTTTTTTAAAAAAATGATTGGATAATAATCATTTAAATAGACGAGCCAACTTCTAAACTGTCCCGACCTTTGTTTCTGCTTTATTCCTCCCTTTTCCCCGCCCTCCGCTGGGAACAAATTAATTGGATAGAAGAATGAAAGGGCTGCGCGTTTCCCATCCTAACAGCGCAGTGCGCTTACTCTCCCCAGAAGTAAGGTTATATCCCCAGGTAAGAGCCCGAATCCTTCGGCAGTTTGACGCTCTGCGGCTGAAGACGGTCGCCGGGAGGTCTGAAAGGCGAGGAGAAGGCCAGGGCTTCTGTGTCTCTGTCGCCGAAGCGCCGCCAGGCGGAGCGACCTACTTGCCGAGCTCCGCTGTCTCTTCGCTGACCCGCATTGTGAGAGCGCCCTTTCGCTGGGACTGGGGGCCAGCAGGCTGGTTTGCTTCTTGCTCTCTCAGTGAATGGGTAGTTTTTATGCAATGGACATAGTTAAAAAGCGCCAGATTATTTAGGCGGTGAATTAAAAACGTGTTGAACGTCTAGAAGTGTTGTGTATACTGTGTGTTTTGCGTGTGTATGTGTGTTTGTGTGTGTGTGTGTGAAAGAGAGCTAATAAAGGCCAAAGGAGGCCAAAACATTTATTTCTTTTTGTTCCTTATTATAGCGCGCGCGCGCGCGTGTGTGGGTGTAGAGCCTGCCCCTGTGTGTCTGTGTGTAATTAAGGACACTCAACCAGATCCAGAGCAGATTTATTTGGAAATTATTTCATGCTTTACAACTTCTCTTTCCCATTTCTCCTGTATATGTACTTACACATCTATGAAATCATTTAAATACAGGTCATTAAATAAAAATAAGCAGCATTTGAGACTGGGTGACTGGAGAAATCACTCTGCCATTTTAAAAAGAAAAATAAATCCCATTTTCTCTAATAGTTTTCTAAATAAGAATTTCCCTGATGAAATTACACCAATAAGATCCCTTCCAGTATAATTGCCCTGTTTCTTACAGTATAAACAAGGATTTCGAAATTAAGGAACATGCAGCTCTTATGCTTTGATCTTAAATATATTAGAAAGTAAATTCTAGTTCTAATAATGTATTTTAATTACATATTTAATACTTTATTTAACTCAATTTAGTCCAATTGGTAGATAAAAATCAATCTGGTTCATAGACATATAATAATTATATTAATTAACTATATCCATTAATATGCCTAAAAATAAGGCAACTTGTACATTAATAACGTTTCTTTACCCTGTCTGTTTGGAAGTGAAACAAATTTATTTTCTTGGGATTTACTCCCAAATAGATGTATAAGAAATTGCAGCCTAAAGGTAATTCCATTTAGTTCAATATATTTCTGAATTGCTCTAGTAAACTATACTACCATGAATTATTTTTTTATGTAGCCAAGCCTTAAAGAGTCGACTAAATAACAAAAAGCAGAGGATCTTTTTGTTGGGCACACAAATTCCCTCCATAGTTTCTCCATAGGTAGCAAGTTCTATCACTTAACTTTTGAACAAGGAACCTACCCTCCCAGGAACCACAGTTAGAACCCAAAATGAAGAAGGATTTGGAAAAATTTGTTAGAATTCAGAAAACTACGTTGATTTATTGCTTATTTAAATTTTTGAAGTTTGTGATAATGCCAGATTGTACTATCATGTGCACTGTTTTAATTATATTTATTTCAGTTTTCTTCTATTTCAGAAAATTTCAGTTGGAGTTTAGTTATATGGGAAATGTTTGCATCTGGGCATATTTCCCCAGAAATAAGACTTAATTTCTAAGGAATTGCATATATCTTTTTTTTTTTTTGCTGAAGAATGTGCCTAAATGGGGAAATTTCCAAAGAGATCAGGTATTTAGTCGGCTTTGGGAAAGAGAGAGGGGGCAGATATAGAAAAGGTACAACATTTATTAAATCTACGTGGCTCAGGTGGATCACTTTCATCAGATGCACAGCGAACTGGAGGTGTCAGACCTGTTAATTCTGAGTGGGAAGCGCTGTTCCTAGGTTGAGGTCGCCCGGAAAGGACCAGAAATGTAACTAATCACCGCTGTTATTCAGTAACGAGAGAAACGAAGATCCTGTGAAACGCCGGAAGGCTGGATTCGTTAGAGTTTATATATATAGCCGTCCAACATTCCCGTTTCAGTCCGTTTCCATTCCTCTCTTCGACGGTTGGGAGGTGGTGGTTAATGCCTGAGTGTTCTGGTCGTAAAATAAGACTTTATTTAAGTGGAACCCCGGGGAAAAGGAAGAAGCGGGAGAAGCGGTCGATTCTGATTGAGTGTATTGGAGTGACTCGCGTGTTAGAAAGCCAGATAATCTTCTGACCCGGACGCCGGCTTTCTCCGAATCGCCCTGCGGGACGAACAGAAGCTCCCAAGTTGCGTCCCCCCCCCAGGGGGCAATGGAGAGGAAGGATCCCCTCTCCCCAGTGAACGACGGCCGCACTCTTCAGAAGCTCACCGCGGAAAAACGGGGCACTCTCAGCCCCATCGTCTGGCGAGGGAAAAGTAGACGTGGAGCAACGTTCTGGTGTCGTGCACGCCTCCGCTAAGTCTTCGGGCAGCAAACATCTTCAACCAGGCCGGTCGAGCGACTGTGCTCACTGGGCATTGTGCGGGCTGCAGTCTAGCTTTCCGGAGGGCGCCCGGTTGCAGAAGGCGGTCGAGGTGGCTGCCTCCTAGGCTGCCGCTTCCTCCTCAGTGCCGGGGAGTCGCCGGAGTGACTTCGTAGAGGAATGACGCCACCTAGCGGCCACCCGATCAGAAGCTTGCAGGGCTTCAGAAACTCTATTTTTAGCTGGCTGGATGTGTTCTCCGACAGATCCCCGGGCTAAGGGAATGCCGTTGCCCCCTTTTTTCCTAACTGCTGGGGTGCAAAGACTGCTTCTTCTTCAAGGTAAACTAAGCTTTCCCCAATCACTTGCCCCATGGAGTTGGGGAAAAGTTTTGGATCCCGACTCTTGTCATTTGCATCGTTTTCACGGGCCCCCTTTCAGCATGATTCAGGATCGTCCTACTAGGTGCATTTTTAAAACGGACAAGCTCAGAGGAAGCTAGTTTCAGAAAACTAGAGAGTTATGACTCGTGAGACGGTTGGGAGGATCGTTTCAACCACAGGCATGGTTTTAGTAATGTATTTTGTTCTTCTGCTGGAGATAGTGGTATTATTCAAAGGTTGAAATACCCTGACCAAGCCTTCGTTGCTGGGCACTTTGTCTTATGAAAGAGGTTCCCTAAGCAACTCAAGATTAATTATAGTTGTCTTTTTTGCAATGAGCTATAATTTGTTGGGCCATCTTACTAGGGCCGTTCTTCATTGCTGTTGAAGCACTGTCCACAGGAGAGGAGACACTACATTGGGATCCTGGCAAAGGATCTGTATACAGGTACTGCAGACAGGTGCTACTTGCATATCCCCAAAACATTTTTTTTCAACATTAACTTTAAAGCCCAACAGTTGTATGGTCTGCCCATCCTTGAGTCAGCACAAAACTTTATAAGCCTGAAATCTTCTCCTTAGTGCTATTCTCTGTTCTCCTCTGTTTCAGGTCATTATAGTCACATGACCTCCCTTCAAAAATATCTGATAGGGTTTTTTTTTTTTTTACATCATGAAGTTGCTTTGGATACATTGGAATAAGAAGGAGAACACTTGTGTTAACTCTGGAATACAAAGGAAATTCAGTCTGTCTCACTCATGTCTGGAGACAAGGTTGTGGCAAGTTCATCACAAACACAGCAAGAGAAAAAGGCTATACTGATATTTTCAGATTTTGAGAAAGTCTTTGACAATTTGAATTGGATTTGTTTTTTACAGTTCTGAGACATATAAACCTTGGATATAAATTTATTAAATGGTTAATGTAGACTATGGGTTTGGCATTTTTGTCTACTTATCACATCCTTACCAAGGATAGGCAGATGTAGATGTTTGATGGTGTTACA